TAATACTACACACACACAACACACAACACACACACACACACGACACACACACACACACACACACACACGACACACACACACACACACACACACGCACACGCACACACACACACACACACACGTATATATATAAGGCAAAAAAGATTAAGCGAGTCTTACTTAAAGTGGGATGTGGTGCACTGTCAAACCAACGTCAATGCATGTCGATTACATGAATCCACAATCAATATACACTGGAATAAGACAAAGTAAGGAAATGCTTGCCGCGCGGACTCGGAGAATAAAAAACAAGTTGCTAGGCTCGCGTATCGGCGGTATATGTCCAAATCTGCCGCAGTGGGATATGTATATACTCACTCACACCTGGTGAAGTTAAAAACGTTTAAATTCCAGTTGTAGTGTACATTCATGCCGCTATACTAAAAGCAAGAGAACTCACATCTCTATATACGTACACGCAGGATAACTCACATCTCCATATACGTACACGCAGGATAACTCACATCTCTATATACGTGCACGCAGGATAACTCCCATCTATATGAGTGCACGCAAGAGAACTCACATCGGTATATCCACTTGTGCGCACATAGATGCACATATCGTAGACATACCTGCAGCTGTGTGACAATCAGGGGTTCCGCATCCGGATCCAAGGAGCATGTCACGCGAAAGTACCGCACTGTCAGAAACGAATTCCCGTTCTCTTCGCCTTCAAGCTCGCTAGCCGCACGTTCAGGAACAGCCGAGCCAGCCTCACCGCTAGGAGTGTAGGTAAAACTTCTCCGAACAGCTTCCATACTGGGCGTGTAGCTCAAATTAGTCCGCGACCATGTGTCACCGTCTGCATTGGGCGCGACTGTACTCACAGGCAGGGATCTCTGGGTAGGGAACACCTTTCTGGCCAAGAACGACACTACAGGGCTTCTGGGTGTAATAGGTTCGGCCTCTGTACGGGTTCTGGGAGATAGGCCCTTGGTCACATGTGTGTGGGTCCTTGTCTTCGTATCTGTATTTGCACCTGTCTTCGACCCGGCATTCTTGCGCTTCGGTGCGTTCTCAATAGCAGTTGTATCCAGTTGCAAGTCGGGTTTGCTACCGCGTTTTTGACTATCCAGCCTCACGAGTTTTAGTACAGTCGAGGGAAAACACAGCTCCTGCCGGAGCCGCGGTGATATGGGAGAGTCTGGTGGTGTGCACAGTATTGTTGGTGAACTGGGGCCTGAAGCAGAGCGATTGTAATCGTACGTACTCTTCTGCCTCGCCAGGTTTATTTGCTTACCCAAACCACCTCTGTTGTAACCGCAAGAGCCGATGCATTCAGATGTGCATACCTCTGCACTGTACAGGGGCGAGATGCGTCTTCTGCTTGTATCAGTAGCTGCGCCTGACCTCGTGGTAGCGGGTGAGCTTTGCGCACGCACATATATGGGGGTGTGCCCATCTGAGTGCGTGTCAGCTTGAGAGCTTGTAGACGCACGTGTCGGTGAGTGCTTGTGCGAATACTTGGGTTTTGACAACAGCGACGTTGTGAAATCAAACGAATTCGATTGTATAGCTTTCACTTTGCTCGTACTACCGTCTCGCGCACCTGTTTCCGCACACCCCTTGTCCTTATTTTTCTTTCTATCTTTCGTGTTCCACTTTACGGGTGCGGTAGAGGTTGTGCTCGGACTCGTCTCTTTCATACTTGTACTCGTACACAAGCTAGACACGCTCACATTCGCACTATCCCCGCTTATACTGACTGCCGGGCTCACCCAGGCACTGCCGGGCAAACTCGCACTGCCACTGGAGTGCAAACTCGCGCCGAAGCTATTAGTAGAATCTCCATCATAATTCAAGTCCTTTTCTGCCAATTCAGAACGATTATACACACCCTTTTCTAATGTGTCTCCGCCTCTCTGTGCGTGCAAATGCGCTGTTTGCCCGCCGTTCAAGCCAGTAAACGCCGCAGTTGCAAAATCGACATTTCTGCTTTTCGGCGAAGATGTCCCGCGCCGGGTAGGTTTCTTTATCAGCACGGTCGGCAGTCGCCGCCTCCCCGAGCCCTTCACCGAAGTTGGAACTAGAAGAGTATACGTACAATTTCATCAGATAGGATATATATATATATATATATATATATTATATATATATACACACACACACACACACACACACACAAATACTATATATATATATATATATAATATATACATTTATATTTATATATATATACATATATATATAATACATATATAATGTAGATATATATACATACATACATGACATATATATATATATATATATACTTATATATGTGTATATACATTTATATATATTCATTTTATATATATATATATATATATATATATAATCTGCGAGGTGTTGAGTGTGCTTCGAGGTCAATATGCCGAGCGGAGTGCAGTAAATTCAAACGCGAGTGCTGACTAATACTCACTGGCCCGTCAACCGGCTCACAGCATACAAGTTTGGAACCAAAACAGTGCATAAACACATTCAACCAGTATATGACTACAAACGAATTTGACCCTATTGGTCTATACATACCTTGAGATTTGATAGGGTGTTTGGAGGGCAACTGCGGACTGGCACTATATTTGGCCTCGTCGGCATCTCTGATGTCAGTCTCATGACTCGATGAAGCCGCTGGCCTCATATTCGTGCTGGTGTGTGAATGCGTACGTGTGTGGAAATATCTAACTGCGCGTTCTTGAGCTTGTGCACGTTTAAGCGATGAGTCGTTTGTGCTGGGCATAGAGTGTACACCCTCTGCAAACCTGGCGTCTGACACCTCTGCAGTGCAGCTGAGATCACTGAACTGCTTCTGTTCGATCTCTGTGGGCCATAGAGCCTCCTCTTGGCTGATGTTCACTACTGTAATGTATGCGTATGTGCGCTCCTCATCTGGCCAATACTTGTGCATTTTCACCTGATATTAGAATTAGGACGCCGGGTTTATGTTTTTGAACTGTGTTGACACGTAGATTATAAGTATGCGCAATCAAAGTGTATGATAGCATTAGCACCCCACGTACACACAGATAGGTGCTTTGAGACGACCTTTTCGTGCGCAATTGATCCCAAGCGATACAATCTAGGACTGATACTGGTGTCGAGCGAACTGGTCAAAACAGACGGCAGACAATTTTATAAACTGAAGATTAGGTTATTCCCTTATGATGTACTACCAAACCAAACAAGCTATACCCGCAAAACAGTCTCATCCCATATTTAGGTGACGTAGAGATAAATGCTACCTACCTTGCCGTCTTCAATGCGCTGTCCCAATGTGACAATCACTGGCATCCGTTCCTGCCACACCATTCGCCAAAAATCGGTGTATGTATTGGGCATGGGTGCCTAGAGTGCGAAAGTGTACGGAAGTAGGAGGATAGTTAGTTGGCTTCAGGAGACTACATGGAACAAGTATGAGCGCAGTGCTCAGTTGCGCCTATACGGAACCTCCAACTCTGAAATCAAATGAGATGAATTTAACGTCAGCAGATACGCACGTTAACTAGATTTTGATGCACTCTTGTATTCCGTAAATTTTTCATCCGAGATTTGAGCGAGTTTTAGCTTGAGTTTGCTAAACGGTCAAAGCATGCTCACAGTACGAATATGTATATTGTACGCGCGAGGCACAGGATATTCGCATGTCAAGTTCACACCCGAAGAACGCAACAGACGTGCACACTCAAAGTATGCAGCAACTGTCTCTGTCATGCAAGACACTACTTGTATTTCAATGTCTATATGGATTCTACAGCTGGCATTCAATACAAAAGTATACTTCAAGCACGCGGGCACTGAACACCAATGATATGAGAGGAAAGCGGACTGAAAATTGAAAGTACAAATACGTAGAATCTGCTGAACAGTTTGCAATTCCCCTGAAACACCCGCAATCCTAATTTCATTCCTTATTACTGAAACAATTCCTGCAGATTCGTACGGCAACCCGGTCCCGATTAATATATTGCGTGTCCATCTCATGTGTGCAAATCATATACATAGTGTGCACATAGTGCACATTCATATGTGAATGTACATACATGATTGACTAATAAACACTCGCCCACCCCTTTCCCCCTCACTAACAAACCTGTGTCGCCACATAACGGTTAGGTCTGCTTTTGCCCGCATCCATATAGCTGGCATTGATGTATTCCGACAAACTACTGGTTGGTGGGCGCCGCAACAACTTAATGAGAGAATTATCATCTGTGAAGATCGAGAAGTAGTGCCGAGATTAACTCACAATGGTTATCATAAAATACTAAACGAAAAAAATGTGGCGCGGCGACTGATGTAATGCGAGGCATTTACAGTGATGGACATTCAATTGTAGCCACGACACAATGACTGCTGTCGGCTACATTTGCACGTATACGGAAGCTCACACTAGAGCTGAGTCACCACGTGTAGCGGCAGTACACGCCAGCTAGAGCCGAGCCAACACCAGCAAAAATGTGAATGACCATACCATCGCCCGACATACCTGGTAGAGCATTGCTGTAGCGATTCAATTTAGCGTTGGCCTGGGCTGTATCAAAGCATGGTTCACCGTAAGTGTAAGCTGCCAGCTCAAGCCAAAGTTTGTGCAGATCTTTGCCGTCTTTCCGTCTTAACCGACGTGCCAGTGCTAATGAGTGTGATTGCAGGTACGAGCCAGGATTAGCCATTGCGTCGATAGTGGAATCGAGATTGATTTAATGCTGCGTGTATATGATAGCGTAGGCCAGCCGATTTTAGATTGAGACCAATAGGTGCATTCAGTTCGGTACTGAGATTGCGGTTGCATATGCATACGTAGCCGGGCCAAGTTTGAGATCAAGCTGGACATCAGAGAGAATTGAGGATTGGACTGATGCTGAAAAAGTACAAGTGCGGAACCCCCGCTGGACATTTCAGAGAGAATTGGGGTTTGGACTGATGCTGAAAAAGTATAAGTGCGCGACCTCCGAGTTTGAGACATTCCAGAGAAAATTGGGGATTGGACTAATTCTGAAAAATCATATGTACGGAACCTCTGAGTTTGCAATCAAGCAGTAAGTTGAATACGCAATTGAGAAGGAAGTGTGTTTGTATTTATTATTTTTGAAAAGTAGTAAATCCCGCAATGCGATCGCATACTCGTTGGCCATCAAAGGGTACAGCTATGAAAAATGTAAGACTAGCATGACTACACCATGTCAGCCTACACTGTCTTATCCACTTAATAAGACATATCCTAAAGAGTGTCCTCATTGGTCATCACAGATGAAATGCATTAATACAGTCGCGTACACAGTTTAAATGTAAGCGTTCCAAAACAGCCCTGCCCAGCGTATATATCAATATTCTTCAAGCTACCCCGAATACCCACCCAGTATCGTTCTCTTGTAGGGTACAAACCCTACAAAGTCACAGACAAACAGCCAAAATACTCACAGTGGAAATGGGAGGCTGGCACGGGCGCCTTCAAGCTTCCGAAATTCGTAGTCAACGTTTGTATTAAGTTGTTGATAACCCCAGATGTATCCCGTAGAGAGCGTGTCTTTATGGGCACCCAGGGTCGCTTATTGCCAGCGATGATCTTATCCTTCGGGTTCTCTGCGCGCTTGGTCATACCCGTTCCCTCATTTGATTGTGTGTGGGTGCGTGTCTGTATTTGCTCCAACATATGTCGATGCACGTGCATGTAAATGTGTCTCTGTAAGCGTGTGTGCTTCCCTGTCAAGTCTTGCAGTGCGTGTAAAGGAGTATTCTGCGTCTATGTAGTTTGATGTATGAAGTAGGTATATGTACATTATAACGTGAGAATCCTTGCGTGGCCGGGTAAGCCTACGAACAGAGTGATTCTCGTTTATGCATATGCTTTGTACGTGTACTTCCGACATCTAACATTCCAAAACTCTAGGTAAAGATAACCTGTCAATACCCAGGTATTTAACTATCGAGAAAAAAAAAGCTTATTACAGGCGAACTCTTCTTCACTTGTGTGCATAGCGTAAGACTACATCGATGTCGTACCCTCAATTTGCGATTGTTCTGATGGATAGAACGTAAATGAACACTGACGCCCGTACATACCGTATGGTTGTGGTAGCTGGCCTGTTTATCGCCTGGACCACTCGTTGCATGCACGCTCATCATTTTTTCCGCGCCCGTGTGCAATGCTCCTTTCCTTTCAGATTCCCTCCCATCCCGGTTTGCCTGCTGCTGGTCGTACACCTGTGGTGCCCTCTCAGCGATTTCGTTCGCATTTGGGTCAACGCACAACCATTGCCCATCCCTACTGTGTACACCTTCCGGAAAGACATCCGGCATAGACTCGAACTTAAGTGTTCGCCCGAGTGAGTCTCTACTACCGCCACACGTGTACGTGGGAGTGTGAACGTATGTGAACACAGACTCTGCGCCCCCTTCGTTATCGTCGGCTGGCGGGGGGGTAAGTGATCGCCGGTCCGGTCTCACAGGAGGTTGCTCCAAATCGCTCCTGTGGAAAGACATATATGGCACTGGTCAGTTCCAGGCGACATATACACGACTCTGTGCTGGAAAAATAAATGTCCTTCTCTAAGACACTTGGTTGTACGTTGACGAGCATCTCACCACCTAACGAATATACAAGCCTACCGAGATTGAACTGTTTGTTAAGACCAATACACGGCCTGGTTTGTGACACTATAAATATATCACACTCCGAGGCTGTATTTAATAGTGAACTGTGTGGAGATACACAAGAGGTCGGCGCGCAATCCCGTGTAGCAGTGCATCCGTGCTACAGAGTAGCTTGTCCCTGCGAAGTATCATGGCGGTGTAGCATGCCAACAAATCATAAATATGCACCTGCTCACGCGGCTCATTGAATCGTAAATTTGGACCAACCCAATCCAATGTGAAAGCCAGTTGTCCATTTATACGTACCCAGTTTTGAGTAGCTATCGGCAAAACACTGTGTACCAGCACTGAAACTTCGTTGCTGCCAAAAATTAAATGAACGCAGACTCACACACAGCCACCCGTAGAAAGACAATAAAATCGAAGAATGTAAATACCTTTTGATATTGCCTGTTGAAAGTGACTTTTTATGCCTTCCTTTTCGGCTTTTAAACCATCTCGTCTGCGGTTGGCACAAATGGAAGTAAACAATTGATGAATAGTAAAGAACGATCACATCCTGTACTCGTGTTTTACGGATTAAACAATAATTCCGCGGCTGAACTAGAATTTGCCACCAAAGCGTTCGTCGCCCAACGACACCAGCTCAATAAAAAGCCCCAAAATATTCAACCAAACAGGCCTTGGCAAAAGCTCATGTATGCTCTGTACAACAAGAAAGTATCCCAAGAGAACCCAAAGCACCAACAACTGCAAAAGTAACAGTGGTTTTAAGACAAAATAAAATGATCGTCGTAAGAAGAAGCTCGATAAATGTTGATATTGAAATCCCAATCTCGAACGTAAGCAAAGAGCTACCAGACAAGATAGCGTACAATTGAGAATTTGTGCCAACATTCGGTGCAGGAAATATCTCTCATGCATATACACGAATAAAACATATCTAAACACACACACACACATATATATATATATATAATATAACAAATATATATATATATATATAATACACACACACACACTATA